AGTATGTTTCTCAAGCTGCAAGGTCCAGGACTTGAATTGTGTAGACAGCCATATTGGATCCAGTTGCCCCAACCTCCACAGACCTGCTGGCCCAAGATTTCATTCTTCTAAGTTTTTACATTAGAACTTTCCATGACATAATGCTGATTTCTGATGACTCAGGATTGTATCACACAATATAAATCATTCTTGATATTTTTCCCTCCTCTTTGTCTTGCCCAACTTTTGAATATTTCACTATTTCAACATGAGCATGTAGGAAAGAAAAAAGAACAAAAATGAAGCCTACAGATTTTAGCAAGACATTTTAGCAAAGAACATTCAACTTCAAGTTCCCATTCCTATTAAGAATAATTGATTTTAAATAAGTCAGTTTCACTGTGTCTTAAATGTTCTTACATGCTTTCCTACTTACTTAAAAGGTTACTGCCCTTAAAAGAGCATCTTGAAAGTGCTTTGAAACTAACTACATGACATATAAATTATACCATTAAGGGTTCAATGAGTGGAGAGGTTATTAGCTATATCAAGGCTTAAAAACAACCTGTGAATAATCAATGCTTCAATCTCCCAAAGATGTATGTAACTCTAGATTGATAATTATTTGAGAATATTCCTGAATATAGTCTACACATTTCTGATTTGTTAGAAAATAGAGTAAGGGGAATCACCTGACATAACTCTGTCCTAAATATCTAAAGGGTGACTAAAATCGATTTGCAATTCTCTGGAGAGCCTTCCTGTGTGACAACTGAAATGTAAAACATTCTAGTAATTCTAAACAAAAGGAGTTTCAAATCAAACTTTAACATAAAAGGTAAGTACTGACCATAACCACCTATAGACGAAACTCATGAATTTTAAGAATAAGTAATGCAGATAACTGTAAGATAAAATATATTTATTTTTCTAGCTGATTAGACTTGTTTACAGAGATGTTGCCTGGTAACAGAAGCACTGCTTTAACAACCTACTCAGTTTCAGACCCACTGTTGTATTCTGTGCTCAGTCTAAACAAATTATGAACTATATCATATATAAGAAATTCAGAACAAGTCGTTCCTTATTACAGACAGCTCTGAGATTTAATGTAGCTTCTTCATTACAATGAATATGACCAAAGGCTTTTAAAATATCTGGGTCTTTTTAATAGCAAAGTGCCCATGGTCAAAAGTTGGACATTAAGAATTTACCAAAGTATCCATTTAAACCTAGCATGCACTAACATATTTTAGGCATTATGTCAGTAATGACAGTCAATATCACTTATATTGACTTCAAGAAAAATGGTAAACACAGGTTTTTTATCACAAATGAAACTGGAGGTACTACATGCAGTTAACCACTACTACGCTAGCTACATAATCACATGCCAGAGAGCGTCAAAAAAGCTTCGCAGAGTTTCACGTGCAATTAATTGTCTATAGAACATGTCTCACAACCTACTTTTCCACCAAGCGCTGCAATTACTTGGCAAGGATAATAACAGAAGAAAGAATTAAAAGAGCAGGTGTCACGGTCCTCGGAGCGAGGCTATACATACCGGACTCACAGCGGGTCCTTGCAACGTGCGCACGTACTAAACAGTGACCGGTGTCGTGGCCGCATTCGCCACCGAGGGACACCTCCACAGCTCCAACCACCGGCTCCCACTCAACTCTGCTCGCAGAGGCATCGGGGCTAAGGAACACGGTCCTACAGCGGGGATGTCGGCCCGGCCCGCCACGCCTGGCGAGGTCCCGGAGGCCGCTGGCGGCGCAGGCTGAAGGGAGGCGGAGAAGGGCCGAGCGGGCCCCGCAGGCTCCCGACCCGGGGGAAGTCTGAGGTAACCTGGGGTGGCTCCGAGGGCACCAGAGGTGGAAAAAGCGCCGCTCCTCCGAGCGGACTGGCCTCGTCGGCGTGCGGGGCCAGCCCGCCCCCCCGGTTGCCCCCTCGGCCCGCCGCACCCCGCCCCAGCGGCCGGGCAGCGTTGCCTGGGTTCCGAGACCCCGCGGCGCGCGGAGCAGGAAGTCCCGCCCCTGCGTCGACGTCATCAACGCCGCGGACGCCGGCGGCTGGCGGAGACCTTTGGGGGGGGCGCCCACGGAACGGCCGGTTGAGGCGGCGGGAACACTGAGCCTGAGGCGCTCCGGGAGGGCCCTGGGGCGTCCAAGGAACAGGAGACCCAGCTCCGGGCACTTGCTTCCGGCAGGCCGTGACGCGAGGCGTCCCTCGCCTCCGCCCAGAGCAGCGTCTTGAAGGGCTTTTCCTCCTCCTTGCGCTTCCCTCGCTTCTTCTCGCAATCTCGTCTCTCCGGGTTTAGGTGGTAGTCCTCTGGGCGCCCAGCCTGCCTCTCACCCTGCGTGTGCGTGCAGGTTTGCGGGCTCCCGAAGTCGCCTACCACCGCGCCAGCCGTGGGGCGTCAGCCATCGGGTGAGGAGTTGGCCCAGCCTACCACCCCGGAGCTCAGGTCAGGGGGTGCCCTTCACGCCCAAGCACCACCTCCTCCAAATCTCGTCTGGCAGTTACCTCCAATACAGGGCCCAGTCGGGTAACATGGGAACTACTTGTCTTCAGGCTGTAGTAGTTGGAAAGCAGAAGTACTTGTCTTCAGGCTGTAAACTGTAGTTGGAAAACAGAAGTACTAAATTTTGAGAACATCAGTTACAATCCCGGGACTGAATAAGGCAGACATGGTGCCTTTCAAAGTAGATGATGATAGAAATAGAAATCCTCTGTTCCCTGATAATCTGTTCAGTACCTCATTTTGGGTTTTGATTCTCATGAGGTTTACCCCCGAGGTTAACATTTTCAGGCTGTACTTATGATTAGAAAGGCAACTGAGATGTGGCCTTTTTTGTTCAGATGGAGAAAAGGGGGCATTAAAAAAGAAATGGTACTGGATGGATTACATCTACAATATTTGGGAGGTAGATAAATAAACAGAATCCAGAAACCTTTCTATGTGTGTATGTTAAATATAACAATAGCTCATATTTGTTGAGAATGTGTCAAGCACTGGAGCATTTTTTTTTCTGGTCATCTTATTTAACCCTCACAGCTCTGTAAGGTAGGTGCAATATATTATCTTATTACAAGGTTACCTAGAGCCATTATTTGTAATATTGGAGTTAGACAACACAAGAAGTCTAGAAGCAACCAACAAACTATTCATTACAAATCACTGGGCAGTGGGAAAAAGATGATTTGAGAAATGGCATGTATTTCATTTCTTACATCCAAACAAATGGTAGATGCATCAGAAGGATGTAGTTTAAGGCACTAACAAGGATAAGATATCAGTGTGAAAAGAGCTATCACAATCATGAATTCAACTAAAATGGAAGGAAGAACAAAGCAAAACAAAAGCAACAATTTGAGTGCAAGAATTATGAAATTACTGATGCAACAAGTTTTGGGGAACACTGTCCCCAAAGAAATCTACAGTTTACAAATGGATAATTCATTTTTTTAATTTCATTTATTATTATAAATATTTTAATTTGCTATAGGTCATGAGCACTCACCAGAGTGGGGAGGGAAGCAAGCCACCAGATCTGGGACTCGAACCATGATTGGCCATGTTGGAGTCCAGTGCTTCAATCACCAGGCCTACCTACTGGCCCCAGGATAATTCATTTTAAGAAGAGATAAGACAGTTTTGAAAAAGACATCCACACCAGCAGACTACATCAATTTGTTGAGAAAAAACACTTATTCATTCCCTAATGAAGATGCCTAATGATTAACAGAGACAATCACCAATGCCATAGACATCTCAGTTGGCTCAGCTTACACAGTTCTGGCTGAAAAAGCTGAGCAAACTTTTTGCTTGATGAGTGCCAAAACAGTTGCACCCTGATCAGCTACAGACAAGAACATTTCAATGGAAATGTTAAACAAATGGAATCAAGATCCAAAAAGGTTCTCTGAAGAATTGCAGTGAGAGACAATTTGTAGCTTTATGATCCTGAAGACAAAACAAAGAGCTATAGCTACTAAAAGGTGGAAGTTGTCCAGTCATAACAGAAGCAGACCTGTGAAGAGCAAAAGTCATGGCAATAGTTCTGGGATGCTCAAGGCATTTTGCTTGTTAACTTTCTGGGAGCCCAAAAAATGATAACATTTGCTTATTGTGATAGTGTTCAGAGAAAGTAAGCTTAAAATTTAGCAGAATAAATGCTTAGGAAGCTCACTAGAGAGTCCTTCACCCCACAATGATGCTCTTACTCATTCCTCTTACCAAACAAGAGCAATTTCTTGAGAGTTTTGATGGGAAATCATTAGACAACCTTACAATCCTGATTTGGCTCCTTCTGACTTCTTTCCTAATCTTTAAAATCTTCAAAAAGAACCCGTTTTTGGGAACCAGCAGTTAGCATAAGCTATGTCACTGGGCTCCCACGTAGTCGACCACGGTTTGTGTCCCGGACCCGGTGGCTTAAAACTCACGCCGGGCGCGTGTGCGTGCGTGCCCAAGATCCCGAGAGGAGAATGGAGGAGAAGGGATTGCGGCATGACCATCCCCCCTGGGGGGTGATTTCTCGCTTTCTGTCTCTCTGTCTCTGTCTGTCTGGCGAGCGCACGCGCCCTACAGTGAAAATCTCTCCAAAAAAAAAAAAAGAACCCATTTTTCTTGAGCTAATAATTAAAAAAAAAAAAAAAAAACCCCCCCAAAAGGGATAAAATTCCCCGGACCCTAAAATGGAAGGAAGAACAAAGCAAAACAAAAGCAACAATTTGAGTGCAAGAATTATGAAATTACTGATGCAACAAGTTTTGGGGAACACTGTCCCCAAAGAAATCTACAGTTTACAAATGGATAATTCATTTTTTTAATTTCATTTATTATTATAAATATTTTAATTTGCTATAGGTCATGAGCACTCACCAGAGTGGGGAGGGAAGCAAGCCACCAGATCTGGGACTCGAACCATGATTGGCCATGTTGGAGTCCAGTGCTTCAATCACCAGGCCTACCTACTGGCCCCAGGATAATTCATTTTAAGAAGAGATAAGACAGTTTTGAAAAAGACATCCACACCAGCAGACTACATCAATTTGTTGAGAAAAAACACTTATTCATTCCCTAATGAAGATGCCTAATGATTAACAGAGACAATCACCAATGCCATAGACATCTCAGTTGGCTCAGCTTACACAGTTCTGGCTGAAAAAGCTGAGCAAACTTTTTGCTTGATGAGTGCCAAAACAGTTGCACCCTGATCAGCTACAGACAAGAACATTTCAATGGAAATGTTAAACAAATGGAATCAAGATCCAAAAAGGTTCTCTGAAGAATTGCAGTGAGAGACAATTTGTAGCTTTATGATCCTGAAGACAAAACAAAGAGCTATAGCTACTAAAAGGTGGAAGTTGTCCAGTCATAACAGAAGCAGACCTGTGAAGAGCAAAAGTCATGGCAATAGTTCTGGGATGCTCAAGGCATTTTGCTTGTTAACTTTCTGGGAGCCCAAAAAATGATAACATTTGCTTATTGTGATAGTGTTCAGAGAAAGTAAGCTTAAAATTTAGCAGAATAAATGCTTAGGAAGCTCACTAGAGAGTCCTTCACCCCACAATGATGCTCTTACTCATTCCTCTTACCAAACAAGAGCAATTTCTTGAGAGTTTTGATGGGAAATCATTAGACAACCTTACAATCCTGATTTGGCTCCTTCTGACTTCTTTCCTAATCTTTAAAATCTTCAAAAAGAACCCGTTTTTGGGAACCAGCAGTTAGCATAAGCTATGTCACTGGGCTCCCACGTAGTCGACCACGGTTTGTGTCCCGGACCCGGTGGCTTAAAACTCACGCCGGGCGCGTGTGCGTGCGTGCCCAAGATCCCGAGAGGAGAATGGAGGAGAAGGGATTGCGGCATGACCATCCCCCCTGGGGGGTGATTTCTCGCTTTCTGTCTCTCTGTCTCTGTCTGTCTGGCGAGCGCACGCGCCCTACAGTGAAAATCTCTCCAAAAAAAAAAAAAGAACCCATTTTTCTTGAGCTAATAATTAAAAAAAAAAAAAAAAAAACCTCCACTAAAGTGATTAAATTCCCAGGATCCTCAGTCCTTTAGGGATAGACCTTTTGATCACTTACAAGTGTCTGCATTGAAATACTATTCAGCCATAAAAAAGGAGTGAAGTACTGATTGATACTATAACATCAAAGATCCCTTAAAAATATGCTAAGTAAAAGCCACATACTGTATGGTTACATTTATGTGAAATTTCCAAAATAGGTAAATCAATAGAGAAACAATGTAGGTTAATGGTTTTCAAGGACTGAGAACAGGTATAGTAGAGAATGCCTATTAATAAATATGGGTTTTATATTTGGGGTAATGAAAATGTTCTGGGACTAGATGGTAACTATACACTTTAAATGAGTGAATGTTATGGTATGTGAACTATATCTCAATTTTAAGAACTGGGAAGAAAGAACATGCACAACATAACAGCATACACATGAAAGCCTATGGACTATTCAGAAAGCTACTTGAACTAGTAATTTAGCAAGTCACAGAGTATAAAGTTAATACACAAAAATTCTATATACTAGCAACAATTGAAAAGTGAATTTGTAAACACTACAATGTACTTTAAAAAAAAAAAAATTAGAAACTTAAGAATATAAAAGGGCCAGCAGGTGGTATGGTGGTGGAGGTGCTGGATTCCAACATGGCTCACTATGGTTCAAGTACCAGACCTGGCAGCTTAAAAATCACACTGGGCATGTGTGCCCAAAATCACAGGAAGAGAATGAGGCAGAGAAGGGATTGTAGCATGGCTATACACCCTGAGGAGTAATTTTTCACCTTCCCTCTCTCTGGTTAGCACAAGTACCCTATAGCAAAAAAAAGAATAACTATAAAAATCACAAAGCAAGCCATAGCATGAGGAAATTCAAGAAGATAAGTGGAGAAAGGC